CCTGCCATTGGATTTGCAGAATGTTGCAGAAGCATCATTGGTGATATTTCTCAAGGATTTTGAGGCACGTTTATACAAATTATCCATGTCTCTGCATACATAAGGACTGGTAACACCGCTGGTTTGTAGACCATGAGCTTGAAGTCAAGCTTGAAGTTTTGTTGTTAAAGACTATATGGCTGAATGTTATCCAGAAGAAAATAAGTCTAAGATCTGTCAAGCATTTTGAGGGATGTTGTGACACATGGCTGAGGGAGTTTTCTCACCTTTAACTTATCAAACTCACATTCTGCTGCTGTAGCATGTTTCATATTTGATTTCCACCCCATCTCACCATGCAACATTCCCAGAATAACTTGCCATTCAGTAGATATCTGACCACAGACTGGCAACCCTTGCAATTGTGCCATTTTTGAAAGGTTACTGCGCACCAGGATACGTATTTGCAATTTGCATTGATCCTCACCTGTCAACATAATGGAATAGCAGCCATGAAGCTATGCTGCCCATGGTATGTAGCCAGCATTTCTGATAGTCCCTACACATACAACCCAATCTCTCATGTTGGTTACTGTTTGGCCACCACGCCACAGAGTTTACCTGTACATAGCTACATCTGTCTAAATATCCTCTCTGCTGGGGAGAGATGTCAAAGAGGAGTCTTGAGTCCTGTGTTCAGTAGCACAAATTGATCTTTATTTGGAGCTTTTTTACCACACTTGAGGGAGAGGCCAGAGGCTGCTCCAAAACTGGCTTTCACATGGGGCCCAGCTGCCCCCTCGATAACAGCTCTGATCACAGGAGAGGGCAGTGACACTTTACCTTTCCCAATAAAGTGCAGGATATTTATACCCTTCGTGTTACAATAATTACATGTAACATTGATGTCATTGTTCCAACCTCTGATCTATACATCCAGTTGTATAAGCACCTGATCAATGATGGACACCTTTATGGACAACACTAGGTTCTCTGATCTCATGATGTTTACCATATAGCTTTATCACTAGTCCTTGGGATCTTGTAATGCATCTCATTAATTTACATTCCAATCCTTGCAGTTATTACAGGAGATACAAAAAGATGCTCATTCCTGCTATTTGCTGTAAAATTTCAGTTCAAATATGAAGTTAGTTATATATAAAAATTATCTGGTTACATCTAATGTGAGAAGTTTTTAGTCAACTTCTTTATCACCTGACCTTGTAATGTCAAACAAACACTGCCCCTCTATCTTGTAACTGCAATTATAACTCCTTCTATTCCAATGCTGTCTGTAAGTATGTTTTACAGGGGACTGCTTCTGAGACAAACCTGAGACAAAATTTACTGTCCCTACTCTAAATATTTCTACACCAACTATTTTACTTAAGACGACATCAATTCAAATTCCATTAATAAGTTTGAAACTCAATCACTTTTTCCCAGCTCAAAAATTGTCTGAACTCCTATGGTTTTACAAGATATCTCTGTCCTCCCCTCCACCCTGGACCTTGGACATAAGATTTCATTTGAGCTGTCTCATTTAAGTTGGGAGCTGCCATTGTTTATTTTCTCAAATTTAAGCTGGTGTCCTTTAGAGGTCATCTGCTTACCCATTTGTGTTTCAGTCCTCCTTTACCAATGAGATGGGAGCACCTCTCCACTATCTGTAGCCCTTTGTTTTAAATAAATCTCTGAACTTTAGATGTAGATTGCATTTCAGAATTTCTCAATATTCAATTACCTAAAGAGGCTCCATGATTGTTGGATCATACTTTTCTTATGATTCTTGCTAAACCACAAACTTTGGGCTCTCCTCAAACATCTCTTATCAGACTGCCTCTTACAGATATCAGCCACTGTGACTTTGTACAAAACCTCCCATAATTTAATTTGTTAGTTTCTTTGTTCAATCTGTTACCTTGGGCTTATCATATTCTCAAAGCTACCATCGACCTAACATATGATCTCGTTTTCTAATGCTGAACTAAACAAGCTGTTTCTGTGCCTGCAACTAAAAATCTCTCCGCCACCTTTATGCCAACTCCACAGGCAGCCATTTTGTGCTACCTCTAAGTCAGTGCTACTGTGTCCCCAGTGTCCACTGTAGGTCCATAACTTGTCATTGTCCAGAAGGGGGACATCACATATAGGAAGGCAATTGGGTAAATATAAAACACTAAAGGGAACAAAAATGAAGCCTACTGAGGCTGAAGTCATACCCATACTACCAATCAGATTTATGAATAAAATGTAATGGTCAACAATTGTTGACTGCAGCCAGCTGTCTTCCATTGGAATCAGGTGTGAATGGGGTTCTGTTGGCTTCCATTGTCCTTGTTCTTCCCCCTCAGACACTGAGGAACTGGGAGAACGGGAGCAGTTTTCTAAGTCATCACCTCCTTGCCAGCACTGATTGTACAGCGCTTAGCACACCAGTATGATGTGGCACATTGTATTTGGACCATATTGAAGGGCCTTTCCAGACCTGTCCTTGCAGTGCAAATGCATCTTTAGCAATCTTACGGCCATGGTTGAGGAAGGAACAGCATTGTATCGGCTCTGTTGCAACCCCTGACTGAGGCAAAATGATGTCATGAGCCAAGATCGCAACGGACAGCCTTTGTTCCCCATTTACCAGTGCTGTAAAGTCTTGAAACCTCAATCGCACCAGGCACGTGGGAGTGCCTAAGGATTGATGAGTGGTAACAACTACCAGAATCACAGGCACGCGCCTCAGGGAGTGGTAACAGTGATCACCGATCACTTGAATATGAATTTAATGGAACCCTCTCCTACTGATGAATTCTGCAGCATTATGTGGCCCAGAGAAGGCTGACAGAGGACCTTCCAGGTGTGTAGCGTAAGATCCATTCTTTTAGATGCCTTTAATGAATGCATTGCTGATAGTTTGGAGCTTGGCCTCTGAGTGTGTGTGCATGCAGGTGTTGTCTATGTACTATGGCTTGATGACAGAGGTTGGGGTGGTCTTGGTTCTTGACTGGAGGTGATACAGGTTGAACGGTTTCTCACCTGTCCTATAGGATTAGCTCTACACCAGCAAGAAGCTTCATAGATACAGGGTGGAGTGTTGCAACAAGGAAGATGGAGAGGTCTCACATTGCTGAGTTGAAACAGCCTTGCTTGACCCTAGTTTGGACCCACTACACATCCAATGCATGTACATTGGTGAAGGTCAAGGCTTGTATGCCATCATGCAGCAGGCAGGGGATGGGATGAATTCCTGTGGGCAACCAAATTTGTGGAGGATGCTTATAATTCCTCTTAGTTGACAGAGGCGAAGGCCTTTGAGGTCTACAGGGAAACATCAAGACTGGTTTGATGAAAAAGACCAGGAAATCAGATGCTACAAAATCACAAGTGCAAAGTATTCTTGTACTGGAAATATCAAATGAACCAAATATCAATGAAACAAAATTGGGTCTATAAACAAATTAAGGCTGAGGCCTAGCAAAAAAAAAGTCTAAAGATCAGCTGGTGGGCAGAAAGTGTGGAGGAAATACAGCATCTCGCTGAAAGCCATAACATGTGTGAATTTAAATGCCTCTTCTAGATCAGTTACTGGTAACCCCTCCCAAGATGTTGATAGTGGGAGCACAGCAAAGGTAATGACATTGAATGTCAGGGGGAAATGTTCGATTCTGTCTTGTTTGAGCTATTCATTGCCTGGCACTTAGATGGCACAAATGTTACTTGCCACTTATCAGCTCAAGCCTGAATGTTGTCCAGCTTGTAACGCATATGGACATTGATGATTTCAATATCTGAGGAGTAACAAATTGTGCTGAACATTGTATAATCATCAGTGAATACCCCCACATGTGACTTCGTGCTGGAGGAAGGTCTTTGATGAAGCAGCTGAAGATGGTTGGGTCCAGGGTATTACCCTGAGGAACTTCTACAGTGAACAACCACAATGACCTTCCTCTGTGCTGGTCTGACTCCATCCAGTGTAGGGTTTTCCCTATGATTCCCATTGACTTCAATATTACTAAGGCTACTTTATACTATAGTTGGTCAAATGATATTTTGTGAAGGAAAGGAACTTTCATCTTGCCTCTGGAATTCAGCTGTTTTGTCCAGTTTTTGGACCAAGGCTGTAATGATGTCAGGAGCTGAGTGCCTGGATTGGGATATTATGCAGATTTTCATTAGTTAACCCCATCCCCTCTCTGTACTTCAGCTCATTTTCTTTTGCTCTGCAAGTTGCTGGAACTACAAGCTAAAAATAGCACATCTAAAAAAAAATAGAGGAACAGCAGAGAAAATAGTAATGTGAACTTGGCTCAAATCAGGTGCAGAAAAGGATATGGAAAAAGTGATGGGTTAAGAGAGAGAATAGATGCAGAAGTAAAGTAAGAAAAATATTAAATTATACATTTGACCTTTAAAAATCTTAAGAACAATTTACAACCTGCCCAAATGAGACCTTGCAGATTCAATTTTTCTTTTTCTATCAGGGTGTTAAGTATTTCAGCAACATAAAATTTTGTTGTCACAAGGGTCATATTACTGTTAGACACCAGCCTTTCTGTGGTGAATTTAATTTTTAATGTGATTTTTAATTTAGGTACTGCAATTTCTTGAAACGTGTGGGAAGCTCAGAGTGAGATTCTACTCTTGCAACTTGAACTTGTAGAATGCTGCAACTTATCCAGTTGCTTTAGTGCTTTGCAAATTAAGGTTCTCATGCTTGCCATAAATTGTTAGACAACTTACACACTAACAATGTCTTAACTCTGTTATTTTGCCAGCTAATTCAGATCCTTTGTGCAGAATATTTACAAGCAGTAATTAGCACCTTGCATACCAAAATATAAATTGAAAATATGAGGCTGTTTCCACTGAGTGCAAACTCATACTTTACTGCACTTTTGATGTTGATGCAGAACACACAGTCGAACTTCAGAGTGTTTCAGCAGAGAAAGAAACCTATACTTAAAAGAGGGTTTTTTTAAAGGGTTATTTAATGTAACATCCTTTGTTTTTTGAAACAGGGCTGTGGACAGAAAATATTCAACTTCCTACGTGGCACAAAGCAATTACAAGTGTTGAAGTTTCTTGGGATTTCCATTGGAGTGACACAGTTACTGGCCATGATACTGACTATTACATTGCTTTGGGCCTTATACTACGACAAAAAGGAACCAAGAACTGGCCAAAGGATGGGCCCAAAAAATCTGAGTGTCCAGCACTTTGCCTGTCATTCAATAGAACTAACGAAGCATGTGCCAAAGAACAATGAGCTGAGACAGACACGTGCAGCACACAAGTTTTGTACACACTTTGAAATAGAGGAATTATAGCTGGTATTGATCAAGTCAGCTGGATGCTGGAAACTTAGCATGAAAATTTCTTTTACCATTGCACAGATATCACTATAGAATTTTGAAAGGACTTCTGAATTCTGAATTACCGCATCAGACCAAACAAATGTTTAAGAGGCTGAGAAAGAAACTTTTCAGCAAAGGTAACTGGAAAAGGGTTTACTTTGATTAAGATATTTTTGATTGCTGCTACAGAAGACATGTACTCTCTTGAGTATCAGTCTCCCTTTTGACCATCTTTACTTGACATTCAATTGATTGATTCATTGTTGTCTCGTGTACCAACATACAGTGAAAAGTGTTGTTTTGTGTGCTATTCAGGCAGATCATACTGTACAAAGGGCATCAGGGTGGCATCCATTCATTTGAGATCTTCTTATGTCTTTGCTTCTGACCTTCATTCCAGGACAACAAAATCAATTATTTTCCAGGCATTGATGTTTACCCATTGTAACACCAAAGAGCAGTAGGAATACTGAACATCATCTATCAGTGATGCTCTGATCAATGTAATAGTTCATTAATTAAATATATTTTACAAGCCTTTTGACAGGGTTCTCGAATACCAGAATTATTGTAATGGACCAGGAGTTCTGAGTTCACCAGTTTTTTTTTTCAGGAAAGCTTGATTGCTGTGCTTTGAAAATTTTCCTGAAATATATTAATCAATTCAAATTTGTTTATGTTCTGTCTTAACTAAATATTAATGTAATTGATTAATGTACTATTCTGTGTCATTTATTGTTGGGTACAAGAAATCACATCATTGAATATTAGTCTTTGAATTTAGCTCCTTTCTAATTTTTACGATACCATATCAGAAATTTCCATCTTTGTTTTAAAACGATTGATGTATGTAGAACCTATTTACTGTATGATTACAAAAATCACATTTGTGATTATGCTGTGTTATTTATGTGTTGTATGTTTCAATAATTGTTTTTTAAGTAATGCAAACCATTGCATCAAATGGCAGCACTGCTTAGATTTTCTATGTTTAATATTTCAAGGGTACACTGAAAAAGGCTTTGAATCTATTGATTTTCACTTCTGAAATAAGTTTTACAACAATGTTCCTTCATAGTTATAGTGTTGCAATTTGTTGGAACAATGACGCACTTCGACATTGAGTGCTAAAATATAGATTTATGGCCATAATCCTGGTTATCAAAGTTAAGTCTGAGCAAATACATATTCATTGGAAAATTTAATGGCTTTTGGCGAGTGCCTTTGCGTATGGGAGTTGGGACGTTATGTTGAGTTTGCACAGAATGTTGGTGGGGCCTCTTCAGGAGTACTGTGTCCAGTTCTGGTCTCCCTGTTGTAGGAAGGATATTATTAAGCTGGAGAGAGTTCAGAAGAGACTTACCAGGATGTTGCTGGGAATGGAGGGTTTGAGTTATAAGGAGAGGCTGGATAGGCTGGGACTTTTTTAATTAGAGAGTAGAAGTTGAGAGGTGACCTTTAAAGAGTTTTATAAAATAATGAGGGGTATAGATAAGGTGAATGGCAGGTGTCTTTTCCCGAGGGTGGGGAATTTCAAGACTAGGGGTCATATTTTTAAGGTGAGAGGATAAAGATTTTAAAAAGACATTATGGGCAATTTTTTTTAACAGTGGTTCATGTGTGGGATGAACTTCGGGAGGAAGTGGTGGATGCGGGTACAGTTACAAGGCTTAAAAGACATTTGGCTAATTCTGTGAATAAGAAATGTTTGGAGGGATATGGGCTAAGTGCAGACAGGTGGGACTATTTTAGTTTGGGATTAGGATTAGTATGGACTGGTTGGACCAAATGGTCTGTTTCTATGTTGTATGATTCTATGACTCTATGAAATTTTAGCAGGTCACATTATGAAGCTTTCATGCACCTACCACTTTATGCCACAAACAAATTGTTTGCTATTGGAAGAAAATGCTGAGAAGGACAGAACAGTTATAGGAAGGTCCACAAATTAACATTGACAGCTACTTTTACTCTTAACACTATTTTGAAAATGAACCAATTTTGATTTCATGAAGTCCTAATTCAAGGTTTAAATCCCAAAAGATATAAATTGAGATGACAGATTTCAACTGCATAAGACAAGGCATAAATATTCTTTGTGAACCTCATATCATTGGTTATCCTTACATTATGGGAATAATGACATATGTAAAAAAAAAATTAGACATAATATGATGGGCTAATAATCGTTGGTCCTAAGAGTTAGCAGGAATAGAGCAAAAAAGATAGCACTTTGAAAGGCTTCAGGATTTTTTTTCCCTAAAATCACACAGCATTCTGCACAACATTTTGTTTTTATCCTCTTGTGGGACATGGCATCACTGGCTGGCCAGCAGTTATTGTCCATCCCTAGGTGCGATTGAGGAGGTGGTAGTGAGCTGCCTTCTTCAACCACTGCAGTCTGTGCCGTAGGTAGACCTACTATGCCCTTAGGGAGGGAATTCCAGGATTTTGACGCAGTGACAATGAAGGAATGGTGAAATATTTCCAAGTCAGGATGGTGAGCAGCTTGAAGGGGAAATTATGGGTTTTGGTGATCCCATGTATCTGCTGCCCTCGACCTTCTAGTTGGAAGTGGTTGTGGATTTAGAAGTTGCTATCAAAGAATCTTTAGTGAGTACTACAGCGCATCTTGTAGACAGTACACACCGCTACCACTGAGTGTCTGTAGTGGAGGGAGTGGATGCTTGTGGATGTAGTGCCAATCAAGTGGGCTGCTTTGACCTGGATGGTATCAAGCTTTCTTGAGTGTTGATGGAGATGCACCTATCCAGGCAAGTGGGGAGTATTCATCACACTCCTGATTTGTGCCTTGTAGATGGTGGACAAGCTTGGGGAGTTAGGAGGTGCAGTATTCCTAGCTTATAACCTGACAATGTACATATATGGCAAGTCCAGTTAGGTTTCTGGACAGTGGTAACCTCCCGGATGTTGATAGTGGGGGAATTCAGGTGATGGTAACACCACTGAATGTCAAGGGGTGGTTTTTAGGTTGTCTCTGTCTCTGTCTCTGATTGAAGATGGTCGTTACTCAGAATTTGTGTGGCATGAAAGCTACTTGCTCCTTGTCAACTCAAGCCTGAATATTGTCCAGATGTTCCAATTTAATATGGCTACTTCAGGATCTGGAGGATAATACATGGGCTGAATTTTTATAATTGCAGGATTTTTATCAAGAAAATATATTGTATTTCTGATAGGATCAACAATTAGGGAGGGAAAGAAGAGTCAAAAGAAAGAAATGTACAAACTGCAATAAATAGCTGCAAAAGATTGTAAGTATAAATAGCTATAATGAATGAAAGAATGTGAAGATGGCACTTATGAATTTAAACTCATTTCAGTGGGGTAGCTGGGAATCTGTGAACCCTGGCCAGTACAGGGTCAACCTTAAGAATTATAGAGTGACAGAACTGTACAACATGGAAACAGACCCTTTGGTCCAACTTGTCCATGCTGACCAGATATCTTAAACTGATCTAGTCTCATTTGCCAACATTTGGCCCATATCCCTCTCTTAAACCCTTCCTATTCACGTACCCATCCAGATGCTTTTTAAATGTTGTAATTGTACTCGCCTCCACCACTTCCTCCAGCCACTTGTTTTATACATGCACCACCCTCTGTATGAAAATGTTGCACCTCAGGTCCCTTTTAAATCTTTCCCCTTTCATCTTAAACCTATGTCCTGTACTTTGGACTCCCCTACCCAAAAAAGACCTTGGCTATTCACCCTATCCATGCCCCTCATGATTTTATAAACCTCTATAAGATCACCCCTCAGCCTCCAACACTCCAGGGAAAAAAGCCCCAGCATTTTCAGCCTCTCCTTGTAACTCAAACCCTCTAATCCAGGCAACATCCTTATAAATCTTTTCTGAACTCTTTCAAGTTTAACAACATCTTTCCTATAGCAGGGAGACCAGAATTGAACTCGGTATTCTAAAAGTGGCCTAACCAATGTCTTGTACAGCTGCAACATGACATCTCAACTCCTATATTCAAGGCACTGAATAATGAAGGCAAGCATGCCAAACTCTACCTTCACCACCCTGTCTACCCGTGACTCCGCTTTCAAGGAACTATGATACTGCACCCCTAAGTCCCTTTATTTGGTAATACTCACCAGAGTTCTACCATTATGTGTAAACGTCCTGCCCTGACTTGCCTTACCAAAATGCAGCATCTCACATTTATCTAAATTAAACTCTCTCTGCCAATCCTTGGCCCATTGGCCCATCTGATCAAGGTCCCATTGAAGAAGGTTATCTCAGAGTACAATTGGATACAGGTTACTGTGTTTTTGATGAGTTGGAGTTTGTATAGGTTCGTATCAGGTAAACCAGCAAAGAAAGCGTACTAGAAATCAAGCATTCAGGTGATTATGGCCTGAATAAGAGTTTCAACGGTGTAGGTGAGAAGATAAAGAGAAGCCTTTGAGATGGACCAAATATATAATTAGAGACCATTGCTTGGCAGCATCAACAGGAGGAGAGGCTATAGTGCTTAGCATTATTTAGGCCCATATATCAGCTGAGGATAGGTATGTTATTAATCACAGAATCCAAAAGGCTATCAAAAAATGTTTTTTCTTCCAAAGGTTCATTTTGAAGTAGCCACATAACAATGTGATACGTGTTAATTACTCCTAATCTAGCTGTCTGGCACAGAAAATTAACTCTTGCAAGTATGGAGACTTGTTCCTTAATGTTGCAGGTGTTCTTGAATATTTCTTCTCTCTCAGTCCAATCTTTAGTTCCCTGTTTTTCTCTTCCTAGATCAGGTTTGATGTTGAAATCTCAATTCTTATGATGCTAATATCACAATGTTACAATCTGGCTAGTTAAGGAAATCCATGTTGCTTGCCTTGTAAAGCCTGTTTCACCTGGCATTGCTCCAACAATTTACAGCATAAAATATTGTTAACATTAAATGGGCAAAGGCACCTTTAACTAACAGTAGGCTGTGTTTGTCACACTGCCACAGGAGATTTTCAGTCATTATTTCAAGCCAACATCCCGATTTGATAACCCATTGAGATGAATTAACAAAAACACCATGCTTCCCATTATTAATTAAATTCTTAATATTTGTTCAGCAGGGTATTATGACTTTCCATCCACAGCCAACATTATACCTTACTACAGCGTGGTGTGACTTAATTGTCAGCTGACATGCATTGATGATTCCTCCCATCTCTGAATGTCAAACAGTAGATCAATATTTCAACCCTGGACAGGCAATACAAAGATGCTATTTATCTTGTTAAATTGTTATTCCAAATAAAAATCACCACAACATTGAAGAGTAAACTCTGCAACATATGGGTCTGACAAAATAAACTGCATTTTAATTGCACCCAGGTCTTTAGCATTACATTGTTAATTTACATACCCCTGAACCATTTGAACACCTCTGCCCTTAATGACTTTTGCTGACTGAAAGTGAAAGTGAATTCCATTCATTAAATTTTCTGTCATAAGTGACTTACATTTCCTCTGCCAATTTGGGTGTTGGTTTTTTTTTAGCCCTTGGGAACTTAACAGCAGCTGGTCGACATTGATTTCACTTTTGTTTCAGTAAATTAATAATGCAGCAAAGTTTTTCAGAACTGATGTGCTTGCCAGAGGCTTCCCAGCATCCTGGGTGCATTTTGTATGGTATGAATTAATCATTGTTGCATACTAATAATTATTCAACTATTATGCCTCATACATTAGGTTTGAATTCTTCTCAAGGTGGAAAAGCTATGCCTTTGAATCAGAGTTAAAGGGAATACGCTTTGAATTTATATAAGTTTGAATATAGTTACGCTGAAGCCTGTCAGTATGTATAATTAATTGAGCCATTTAGCAGGTTCAGCAAAATAAGGTTTATGAAGTTTTCATAAGCAATAGCACATTTTCTACTTTATAAAGTATTGGGTCAGGTGGAGCAGATGTAAGTGACTTGTCACAATTATTAAACACAATGTCCCTGAATGATAAAGGTGGCACAAGGTTGATTGTACAGTCATCAAGAACTTACTAAGACTTAGCCTGATGTAGATTTGAGATCTACATAACCTTCTAGTAGTCTTTAAGGTTAATAAATTGGGATACTAGTGGCATTTAGTGAGCTGCAAAATTTTAAACAGTCATAAAGCAAAACTTTGCTAGCTAAATAATATAATTTCTGACATATTGGGGAGAGCCACAGAAATGAC